AAAGAGTATCTCTGTGCAGATCCTCACTGAATTTGTACAATAAATTTGAATAATCTCCTGCTAGCAATAAGATGCTGCTGGGCTGGACAGCTTATTGTAAAAATAAGTTACTATACTTACTCCTAAAAAGCAGGAAGCAAAAACACTCTCTGTGGCTTTTGAAATTGAACTTCCTTGGTCTACATTCAGTTCTACGTTCAGAATTATAATAGCTAGACAAGTAATGACAGAGAAGCATGAAATGGATGTACAATCCATTACATTCTGCCTGCACCAGAAATTACTTCTTCTACACAAAATCCACATTGATAGTGGCAAAGGAAAAAAATATTTGTGGCTTGGAAGAACAAGTAGTGACTACGTTAAGTATCAGGAAGTTTGGGAGATACTTGGACAGCCAGATAAGAGCAGCCTCATTGCCTCAGACTCAAGAGGAAAGAAAAGACCAGCCACCAAAACAAGATAGGAGGTTTGGCAGTCCATAATCACCAGGTCACAATCTGCCCATCTAGAAACACGTGACAAACAGTAAAAAATGAGAAAAAAAAAGGTGGTGGGGGGGGGAGGATTCTGAGCAGTGAGAAGTATCTAATGATCAGCAATATCTCATCATGGAAGCTGCAAAGAATCCTCTGGCGATCCAAGGAGGCCAAGGGAAGAGAGCTTAAATGAGACATATTTGTAGATAGTTGCTTGAGGCCGCAAGACAGCTAATCTAGTCAAAAAGATTTCTGCAGGCATCCAAAGACAACCAAACTTGTTTAATATTCTCTGCAAGCGAAGGAAAGGGAATTTTGCAAGGAACAAGAGGACTGAAGCAAAACATGAACTGCAAGTACGAGACTAGATAAACAGAAGAAGCCTGAAGAACAGATTCCACTGTGATGGTATGTACTGGCACTAAAAGCATTGACTAATGCAAAACCCCAAGGATTATATAAAACATTAGGGGGAAAAAAAAGAGAGAGAAATCCTTTCTTATATCACAATTTGGTATAGAAAGATGTCAGAAGTGAACAAAACTGTCTGAATAAGAATGATGATTCCAGTTTTCTGAACTGTTAGCCCACGCTCTAGGAGACAGTAGCCGTGTAGTTTTGTATAGCTTGAAGAGGATGCAGGAAAGTACACAGGGACTAAACCTAAGAACTCACCATGCTTCTGCCAGCCACCCCTCCCCAACATTCCTTGGGGAATGGAAGAAATTTTTTTTTCCCACCTTTAATGCAGTTCTAAGAGTACTAATGGTAAAAGAGTATTAGAAACAGTTTCTTAGCACTGTTATCTTTTTTAAGACTTATTACTTCACAAATGTGAAGTAATATTGCAAATAGAATCATAGAATCATAGAATGCTTAGGGTTGGAAGGGACCTCTAGAGGTCATCTAGTCCAACCCCCCTGCACACGCAGGGTCACCTAGAGCACGTGGCACAGGACTGCGTCCAAGCGGGTTTTGAAGATCTCCAGAGAAGGAGACTCCACAACCTCTCTGGGCAGCCTGTTCCAGTGCTCTGGCACCC